ATTATTATTATTATTCATTTATTTATTTTTTGAAAGTGAAATTTATATTGCTCAAAATAAATGAAGAAGCCGGGGACCTCACAAATCAACCTGGAGTATTAAGAAATACTGGGGCCATTACCCAACTCGGCTCATGCTGGAAATCGGGTCCAACGTCCCCTGAGGAAAAAAAAAAAAAAATCCTCAAAATAATTTCCAAAAATAAATCCCTAAAGTTCCACATCAATAACCGCATTCTTTCTAGGGAAAAAAGGTATGTCTGTCTCTTAAACAAAAAGTGTCCAGACAAAGGTTTGGGTAGGCCATACATACTTCAGAGCAATGGGCTTTAAAATTTTCATAGGCCTATGGCGGTTTCAACTAGTTGCTGATAGTTAACCTCATGTCCTGTGTCTCTTACTTGACAATCGTCCGCTCCAGTCGCAGAGCATGTAGAGACGGATATTATTATTGATTTGTGCTTGTTGCTGTTGTAGCGAAACAAACTCTCCTCTAAAGATCTTGATGTTTTGGGGTCTCCATATTTATTGCATAATAACTCCCTTGCAGACCAACGTCAATAACCCCGGGTTAAGAGACTTCCTCTAGATATTCTTATTAGAGTATTGGGGATCTCTCTTTCTGCTGGCGGTAAACCAAAGACTAAAAATGAATGAATTACTCAAAACGGCCATATGAAGTTAAAATTATGGAAGGATAAACACTCATCATTACTAGGTCGTACCTTGACAATTGATAACGTTGTCCTAACTTCAATATGGTATAAGTCAACTATTTGGCCCCTAGATAAAGCAACACTCATAGTATTCCGACAACAGTTAACAACCTTATCTATCCAATGGATAAGGTGTCACTTGTTTAATCCACAGACCCAATGGGCAACACTAGCTTGGGAACAAATTAAACGATTAGCTCCCCAAACATCGAAAAAGATTGACCCCATAATATGGTTGGAGAATTGTTTCTAGCATCTTCGTAGGGGCACGCTTAAGGATGAAACAAGGCAAATAGCCTCTGAAAGACAGGCTGCTAGAAATGATTTATGTAAAGATCCTTTCTGGGTCTTCTTGCTCAAAACCTGAAGAAAGTTGTTTCTGACTGATAACATTTCCCCCAATAGATGGGAAGCGGTATGTCAACAACCGATGGATCAGAGATTCCCAAGGGTGTGTCCTCAATTGTATGAACTCTCCTAGGAAGGGTTGGGTCAAAAAATGAATCTTGAGAATCAAGGACATATGGGATAGACACACAAATGAATGGATTGACCCATCATTTTTGAAGGAACATCTCCGTTACAATCATCATCCAGAGAAGACATTAGAGCAAATAATAGATTTAATCCCCCTGGAATGGGTTCAAATTCTATGGAAAGGGCACAAGCTGAAGATTAATGATTGGGTGACAATAAAAAACCATCCTCATGAAATTGATAATATTTTAGACAAGTTTTCAAATGGGGATATAATTTTAGAATTGTCTGAGCTCTTACAAGATCATACTTTCATTCCTAAAGGGCAAGACCAAATTAAATAGGTACAGGCTGACCAAATTTTCAGAATCAGGGTTTTACGAAAGAAAAATCAATGGTTAGTTTTTTTACCACTCATTCTCATTTCAGATCTACAATTTAACCCGACCAATTGGATTTGGGGTTCCCCAACGACGCCAAGTAAAGAAAAGAAAAGTAAAAGGGATTATAAGCGGACTCTTCACACCCTGACAGTCAAATCAATATATCGAATGCTAAGGGTGAAAATCAGTTTGAAAGAGTGGTATCTAGATCGATGGACCATCTCAATATCAGTAAGGAGGATTTAAGGAAGATCAAGTGGTTTAATCTAATGAAATCCAAACCAGCCAAAGTGGTTTCACTTCAATGGCAGATTAAGCACAAATGTCTCCCCACTAATGATTGGTTGATGAACATGTCTACTTTAGAACGTACAGGGAACACATCCCAATGATGCAAACTTTGTAAATCAACCTTTCCCGGTAGACTAATTCCAGAAACTATCGGGCATATTTTTATGTAATGGCCAAGTTCGGTCTGACCCTGGAGATGGTAGGACTGAGTTTGGTCCCAACTAGGGCCACCAATTCCATGGTCACGGGGATGAAAGAGTATTCTCTTGGACGCACGGATTTCAGGGCCCTATGAGGAGTTCACACAAAACCTCTTCACAATAGGGAGAAAAACAGTCATGTGGGCTATATGGATGAGATGATGCACATACGAAATGGAGGGAGCCAGACTTGATGGTCCAAAGTTCACTGAAACAATTAAACAATAAATACAAACATAAAATTCCACCAAATGGACTCAGACGAAGGAAAACGTAAATCATTTATCTTCTCGAACAAAGATTTTTAAACATATTCAAAAATTAAATACCAACTGGCTGGGAGGAATCCAGAGGGGGAAGCTTGGAAAGATACAATGGGATGGGGCTACTGGAAAGAAAGATCAAGAGATTAGTATGGATTATAAGCTGGTATTCAGGGAATGGACATCATGTGATCCTTCTATACCCCTACGCTCTGTGTTGGAATTCCCTGACCCTTTTCCACCACCTCCATTGTCTATGGTACCAAGTTCCCAATTTTAGCAATAAATGAGAAAGTGTAGATATCAAATTTGTGTTTGGTCATGCTTCAAAATGCATCGTGGGACGAAACTAGTTAATATGGCTAAAACTGACGCTCAAAAACAGAGTGAAGAGGTTTTTTTCCTCCACAACATGAGGATGGTTTTTTTTTGGCTAGGTCTCCACTTATGGCCTACCGCCTTCTGTGCGTGTTATCCAAACCTGCTAAAATTTCCAAATATGTTCCAAATTTGTCATAAATTTACAAGGGACGCTGGACCCGGTTCCCAGCACGTGATGCTCCCCACGAATAGACTGGAGCTGTTTAAAAAAAAAAAAAAAAAACATAGTTCCAACCCACTCTGTATTCTCTCATGTTGTTTGGCAAGACCCCAAACATGATCCAATCATCCTCCCATGGCCAGTCTGAATTGACGTCCTTAGCCCAACAGTTTCTCCACCACCGCCAGACCTGAGCTGAATCCGGGCAGACCAATCAAATGTGGGTGTTTGATTCCCAGCTCCAGTCGCATCTACCACAAGTCATCGGTACTTGCATACCTCTTTTCGCTAGCCAGGGAGCGGTAGGTAGGGACTGTCATCCGGGATTGTTCCCACTGCAAACTGGCATCTCTCGGGGCTGCAAATTTTTGCCAATTTTCGAAGAAAATGCGAAAATAGGGCATTTGCGGTCACGTCCAGAGGTGACTGCAAAATCCCTTGCCCCGCGGTTTCCCAGTTCGCAGCCCATCAGGGTTGCGTTTTTTCCCTCTGAGACATTTCAACGTCATTGAAATTCCAGCGTCGGTGGTCGGTGGTTGTCTCTAGCAAGGGCCAGGACCATGTAGGACCGGTAGCTGCCCGTAGGAGGCCGAGGAGGCCGCGGCCTTTTTCGAAATTGAAACGGCGTGGGTCCACTTTTCTCGAATAACAGAGTACCTCGAATAAGACACATACACGTTGTATTCAAATACAACGTGTACTCTTTCTATTCGGATTTCGAAAAGAAATGACTCTTGTATTCCAATAAAATTACTTTCTTTTTGGAGGTCAGTGCCTGCCCTTGTGCTCCCGCCACTGACATGCTGCATGCTGCAGATCTCTCTCTCTCTCTCTCTCTCTCTC